TCGAAGATGATACAGAACTGTCACCAAATGACTTGACATTCTTCAGATATGCTCCTGTCACATCATGTGATGTGAAACGAAGTTTTTTCAAATACAAAACTATCCTTAGTGATAATCGGCGATCTTTCAAATTTTAAAATTTGAAAATGCAAGTAGTTATAAATTGCAATTGTAGCAGTGAAAATTGAGATATGAATAACTTGTGTTCTTTTAAATGGTGTTTTTGGATAACAGAGTTAAGTTAGTGTTCATACCATGTGCACCAGTGTTTGTCTAAAATATGAACGCAAATATCAGTATTAAAAAGAAAACAATGAATGGTTTAATCCAGTACGAAATGTCGAAATTCTGTCAGTTTTCTTTCTTTCAGAGATATAGTAGGGCTAATTTGGTAAGTAGGACCTACTATCATATAGTCATCATCTTTATTCTTAAACTCTAGTAAAAGTTGTAATTAAAATTGTGAAATTTTATGTCCCATTTAATATTTAAGGTCATATTTGACATAATTTGGGGTCATAAGTGCATGCATATAGCTTTTAGGTCATAAAAATCCGGGCCCTAATAATCACTCTACATATATACAATAATATTACTGTATGCGAGTTTGAACTGCGTCACTTCACAGTTTCAGTTCACAGTCACTTCACTATGATAGTCACACTGACACGCGTGGCACTTCTCGAAACAATCCACTTCACACAGCAAAATCACACGTTTTACAATAGAAGAAGGTGCTCCTGTTTTTCTTATTTAGTGAAACACTCAACGTCTTTGTTTCCCTTTGGTTGGCCAGTGTTGTGACTTTTTCAACTCCACTCAACTCAGTTGGGGCCCCCTGATAAATTTGGCCTTCCCCCAAGAAACGCCATTGACCATGATATTCGGCTTGTGCGATCAAAGAATCGTCTTGGGGGAGGGGGGTTTCTAGCAAAATCAAATAAATTATGTTGATTGACAAAGCGACACTCTCACCTGTTGGTAATATTCGCAAAATAGTGATGCAAAGTAATTATAATACTAGTCGAAAGAGTGCCAGTCCGACACATACTGAAAGTCGCAGTGGCGAAGACGCCTTTTACTCACAATGGAAGTGGCTCAGTGGGTTTATACCTCTTCCAAGATACAAAATAAAAATGATATATAAAGAAATATATGACAGTCTGACGCTGACTTTCCAACTGATAAAGAAATATCAGACAATCCGACACTGACTTCCTGACTGATAATTCGCCACTGAAAACCAATCCTTGAATGAGTGAGACGTCCTTGAAGGCTCTGCAAGCGCTCATATGCAAGCACCGGTAAATATTTCCTCATCAGTTCTCGAAACAAAGCTGGGCTATATTTGGCTGACCAGGTCATAAACAGTCATATCTAAACGTAAATAGTATCGAAACCAGTACCGTGATAAATAATTTCTTTGTTCAGAGCTAAGGAATGAACCACTGACATGACCTCATGTAGGTTTGTTTTGGTTTGCAACCCAAGGTCAGACTGCCAGCACTCCCGAAGAGAGCATGTGTCCTGTGACCTATGTACAGGTCATTCGGCCAACTCCGGTTGCTGCTTGCGACCTATATATGTGACATTTGGATGATAAAGGTTAATGTGGGATCCAGGTCATTCCGTGTCAATTCAGGACAGCATTTGAAATAACCAGCTTAGATTTGAATTATGTTTTGAAAACCTACAGAGTCTGAAGAGTCAGTGATGACTGTGGAGTTTTTTCTTCCATTGTAAATCAATTTTAAAGTTATTTTATTTTGAAGTTCTGAGTTTTCTGTAGCTTTTATCACTGCCTTGATGTAATAAAATACTTATAATTAAGTTTGAGAAATTATTCATATACTAATTGAAAGCCATTAACTGGGGCTTTCATTTAGTGTGCAACTTGCAGTATATTAAGGCATATTAACATTTTGAGCATAATTTATGAAAAATATATATCCATGATTTATGCTAACCGTCTTACAGTGCACACATTTTTTTCACCTTACTCTCTTTTGCACTACATGTTTCAGCACTAATGTGCCATCTTCAGGTGTGTGTCTATGCACGTCTTAACTACTGCATTGCATCCCCTGATGTCTTCATATTAAATGACTAAAATATATATTCGTCATGTATAATAATAAATTTTAAATATTAAAACTTTTCAGGATTCATCATCGTTACGTCGTATCTCAATACGCGAATCACGCCAATCCTCCTCTGTGGGAGCACGTAATAATAGATAAAAGTCAGAATGTGGTATTAATGAATAACAATTTCACGTTACAGATACACACATGAATGTAGGAAGAGCGTGAAATCTGGATTTGGCTGTCTTTCAGGCAATCCGCCAGCGATATCCAGTCTTACTACCATGGCGTATGCTCCAGTGTCCACAGTCACCTGGCACAGCTTATCGCCGACCCATCCCTGGGTGACCAGACTGGTGTGGGCCTTTTCCGTCATGTTGGTGAGTGCGTAGTGTGGGGGCCTTAACGCATATGCTGGTGTTTCGCCCCTGTCCACCAGCCCTTGCTTGTTTCCCGTCAGTTGGTCGTTTCTCCAGCTTGTTTCCTTGTTGTTTCCAGCTCGCCATTCCCATTTCCCCGGTGATTCCCGCTTATTTCTTGGGGGTCCTTTTCGGTCCTGGTACTGTCTATTGTCATTTTCTCTGCCATAGCGGCTATTGCTCTCAAAGTTCCAGCCTCTGGACTGTTGAGTGTCTCCTCATTGGGTGGGGGACGATCGGAACTTTTTTGTATGTCTTGGTGCTATCTTCGTGAGGTCTAGCTGCTACCAGTACCGCCTGCAGCTCTAGTGCTTGTCGGAGGGCCTCGTTTACTGTCTTATCAGCTCCCAGCAGCAGCTGGATCTTTATATCGGCATCTCGTGTTCCGTATACGAACACTTTTCCTGCCTCTTACTATGTGGTCTGCAGGTAGATTGGGGTAGGCACGATGGGAAAGAAGTTCAATGGCCGTTGCAAAGTCTTGCAAGGATTCTCCAGGTTTCTGCGTCCTTGTTCTTAATTGGCAGTGGTAAGCAGCTGCAAAGTGTTGGTCCCCGAAACGGTCCTCCAGTGCGCGAAGTGTTTCCTCATAAGTTTTATTTGCCGGAATTCTGGGTAGCACTTCTGCCGCCCGACCCATCAGGGCAGTAATTAGATATGTCGATTTTTCCCTATCCGACCATTAGTTGTGTTCTGCTACGGTCTCGAATTGTCGCCGGAACATGCTCCACGTTGAATTTCCGTTGAATGTCGGTGGCTGAGCTGTGCCTGCGCTGACCGTGGGTGTGATTCCCCACTCTGTCCTCGTCTGTACTACTTCCAACTGGGCCTGGAACTCGCGTTTGGTTTCTTCAATTGCTGCACAGGTTTTCATTCTTCGTGGAGATTTCGTTTGTCATGTTCAACGATCGCCAAAATGTTTTCAACTCTATGTTGGATTTTATCATCCAACTCTGATCGCATAGATTGCATTGCGGCCTTCAATTCTTCCTTGTCAACTGCCTTTTCTTGGTTGGCGTCTAATTTGGCCAATAAATCTTCTTTGTCTTTTCTTCTATTGGCCTCCGTCTTTTCTTGTTTGGCGTCTAGTTTTGTCAGCATGACGTCGGTTTGTTTTTGGTTGACGTCTAATTTTGCCAGGAAGTCTTCTCTGTCTTTTTTCCTATTTGCTTCCATTTCTGCCTTCTCGGTTTTTCTGCCTTCGCCAGCATGATATGTGTTTTTTCTTGATCAGCTCTGATTTCCTTGAGCAGCATTTCCATCATCTGCTGTGATTCCATTTTGTAGCAGTAAAATATTCGATGCACAACAATCTGTTTATGGCGTGTTTAAGTTCGTAAACAATTCTGACACCAGTGTAACATGTCTTAAGTTCGAATCTTGTTGGTCACGTGTGTAAGTCCAGTCCAACTTCTGACACCAGTGTAACGTGTATCGTTACTGAAGACGCCGTAGAGATTGTTAATTGGTTTATTCAACAACCTACAAGTAATGGCTACAATTAATTATAACAGTGTTGTGGGGTTTCACAATTTATAACCCTGTTCGCAATAATCTCTTCACTCTGTTGTCAGTAGTCTACACGTATTTACAGTACGGGAGCTATATAAGTGTCACTGTGTTACACACTCCAAATTACTTCTCAGTTATCATGAACTGTCACTGATTATCACACACTAACTCGTAACTCGCCGCTGACTAGATTCCAACTCAACTTATAGGCTGCTGCCTTGAGAACTGTTGATCACACACTTCGGCGGCTGATACACTTTTAACTGACAACAACAACTGAACTCGGCGACGGCCACATTTCAACTCAACTTGTAGGCTGCTGCTGGCTAGAGAACTAACTTTGGCGGCTGGTACACTTTAACTGTCTCTGGGGAGGGCTACATGTTAACTTTCCTCGTAGGCAGTGTGGTTCACTTATATAGTCGCAGCGCCCACCTGTTAACGCAATCGGTACCGCTGTTGGCTGTTACCCGTGTAATAGCTGTGTTGCATGTTACGTCACCGTTGGGGGAGGGGGGAATGGAGAGCTGACTCACCCGCCACCACTGCTGGGTAGAGAGAGGTTGTCCTCCATTGTGCAACATGTCACAATATTTTATATTCATATTTTATTTTTGTAATCGGCAGATACTGGTGGAACGATATAATATCAGAGCAAACGTCTTCAGTATTTGCGGCAAATAAAAGAATATAGGGAAGAGGGTCGCCCAATCATCTACATGGATGAAACCTGTATTCATTCATCGCACACCACCCCATATGCATGAAGTGATGGATCCATCCAGGGATTATTTTCCCCTGTGACCAAAGGCCAGCGGCTCATTGTTATTCATGCAGTGGGAGAGCAAGGTTTCATCCCTAATGCCTATGTCTGCTTTAAATCCCACCAAAAAACAGAAGACTACCACAGTGAACCAATTATGAAAAATCGTTAAAGGAGCGACTTATTCCTAACCTTCCCCCAAATTCTGTCCTTGTCATTGACAATGCTCCCTACCATAATGTACAACTAAACAGAACCCCTAACCCAAATTCAAGAAGACATTTTATGATATCCTGGCTAAAATATCGCCTTCCACCTACCACCTTCAGTAACACTGATTTTTCATCATTGCAGAATCCAGACATATATAATGTGATCCTACCACTCAAACTGAAATACCTTTCCTATAAAATAGATGGAATCTTTGCAGAACACAATCACAATATTTTACGACT